CCTCGTGTCCGTTTGTCCCTCCTCACGTCCGTGTGTCCCTTCCCCTGTCCCTGTGTCCCTGTCCGCGTGTCCCGCCCCGTGTCCGTGTGTCCCTCCCAGTGTCCGTGTGTCCCTACCCATGTCCGTGCGTCCCTTTCCCTGCCCATGTATCCCTGTCCCTGTGTCCGTTCCCGTCTCCGTGTGTCCCTCCCAGTGCCCGTGTTCGTGTGTCCCTTCCCCTGTCCCCATGTCCGTGTGTCCCTCCCCGTGTCCGTCTGTCCGTGTCCGTCTGTCCGTTCCCGTGTCCGTCTGTCCCTCCCCGTGTCCGTCTGTCCGTGTCCCTGTGTCCCTTCCCCTGTCCCCATGTCCGTGTGTCCTCCCCCTGCCGCTGCCCCCTCTCTGGGTCCTCCCCGCCGCTCGGGGGCGCTGTCTCCGGCGGCTCCCGGCAGGCGGCGCGGGCCGGGGCGGGCGCGGGGCGGGTCGGCGCCTTTGTGTGAGCCGGGCCGGGATGGTGCGGGGCGCCGGGCGGGTAAGGAGCGGCCCCCGCCCGCGAGCCCCGGCCCCCGCCGGTTCCCCCTGCCACCACCCCCGCTATCACCCCCGCTCCGACCCCTTCCGCCATCCCGGGGCCTCCCGCCGCCTCTCGTGGCTCCCCTTCCCCCCCGGGCCCCACAGCGGACCCCGCTGTTTTTCCCCCTTTTCTCCCGTTTCTCGGAGCCTCCTGCTCCCCCCGGGCCCCCCATCCTTTCTCCCGCTCTTTTCCCTCCCTCCCCTTCCCTTCCACAGGGATCCCCGCGCCGCAGGAATTGCTCTGGTGCTTTTTTGGGGGCTGGTTTGCCTTCCAGAGCCTTCCTCGGCATCTTCATCCTCCTCCTCCTCCTCGCCTTCCCCAACTGACGGTGGTGTTCCTCCATCCCTCCGCATCCCGGGGGAGAACAGCCCATGTCTGCCCCTTTGGTTTTCCCGACAGCTCCCTCCAAACTCCCGTTCTTTGCTGCCTTCTGGGCTTGCTGTTCCTGATGTTGGGAATTAAAAATAGGGGAATTAGGGGTAGAGCTCCCTGGGTAAGTTTATGGAGTCCCTGGGGTATCCCTGAGCAGGACAGGGGGATAAAGGCAGTGGGACAAGCTGGAAGGACACTGGGAGCATGGCCAGTGCTGTGAGACAAATGTGGTGGCCAGGGAATCTCAGAGGTGTCACCCCAAAATCCCAGGGGAATCCACASGGCTGGAATGCAGAAAATCCCACCYGGGAGCCTGAAATCTCCGTGTGGGTTCAGGTGGAATCTGAAGTGAAGGAATGAAGTGGCTGCAGCTGGAGGAGACTTAGAGGCCAATCCAGCCTGTGTTTTGAGCCTGAGTGGAATCTCTTGGGAGAGGGGAAATGTCTGGAACAGGCTCYGGTGGGGTCTCAGAGTCAGCAGGATCTCTGTCCCTGCCCCAATAGCAGCAGAACCTTCAGGCTGCCTCTGAGAGTCGGTGTGGTTTCGTTTTTACTTCGCTCCTTTGCGTATTCATCCTTTTACTTCCCAAAAGATCGGTTTGCGAGGTGACAGGACAGGTTTAGTCCACCTCCAGCTGAGCAGCAGCTTATCAGAAAGGTGGAAAATGGGGAGTTTTGGCTGCTAAATGATAACATTTTTTCACTTTTCCCCTCTCCAGAGCCCCTTGCCCTGCCAGTTCCTGGCTGCCCGACACCTCCTGCTYCCGCCGCGGATGAAGGCGTGAAGGCCGAGCTGACCAGGGAGAAAGGACTCGTGAGCAGCTGCTAAGATGGGCATGAGGATCAAGCTACACAGCACCAACCACCCCAACAACCTGCTGAAGGAACTCAACAAGTGCCGGCTCTCCGAGACCATGTGCGACGTCACCATCCTGGTGGGCTCCCGCTCCTTCGCCGCGCACAAAGCCGTGCTGGCCTGCGCCGCCGGCTACTTCCAGAACCTCTTCCTCAACACGGGGCTGGACGCTGCCAGGACCTACGTGGTGGATTTCATCACCCCAGCCAACTTTGAGAAGATCCTGAGCTTTGTGTACACCTCGGAGCTCTTCACGGATCTCATCAATGTGGGTGTTATTTATGAGGTGGCTGAGCGGTTGGGTATGGAGGATTTGCTGCAGGCTTGTCATTCCACTTTCCCCGACCTGGAGAGCTCGGCCATCACCAAGCAGCCTGCTCTGTCTGTGGGGGAAGGCCGGGCTGGGCCGCTGAGCAGCACCTCCTCGGAGCAGAGCCACTCTTTGGGGGACATGAGGAGCGGYGCGGAGCACTTCGGCCCCGAGCGGAATTACCTCCTGCACGGCGACGTGGCAGGTGGCTACAAAGAGGATGAGAGGAATGCTGTGGGTGAAGCCAGCCAGGCTCTTCCCCTGATGCACCCACAGCAGCCTCCTAAGACAGAGCAGGAGTCGGATCCRGGGCAGTTTGCTGCAGCTGTGGGGCTGGGAACCCAGCCCGGTGGGAACATCATGGCACAGAGCACCGGCAGCTCCTGTCCTCAGTACAAAGCCCAGAGCAACGGTGACTACAGCAAGGGKGGCTTCTTCCCCACTGATCCCTCCCTGGATATCTCCACAGGCAGCAACTCCTGCCCCAGCAACAGCGACCACTCCAAAGAGCAGGGATTTGAGCAGATGGATGAGCTGCAGCTGGAGGATTTGGGAGAGGCCGAGCTGCATTTTGAGGATGCTGGAGAAGAGCTGGGCCCGTCYGAGGAGGTGATTGAGCTGAGTGATGACAGCGAGGAGGAGCTGGCCTTTGAGAGTGACAGCAGGGACAGCAAGGCCATGCCCTGCCAGGTGTGCAAGAAGGTGCTGGAACCCAACATCCAGCTAATCCGCCAGCACGCCAGGGACCACGTGGACCTGCTGACGGGCAACTGCAAAGTCTGCGAGACCCACTTCCAGGACCGCAACTCCAGGGTCACCCACGTGCTGTCCCACATCGGCATCTTCCTCTTCTCCTGYGACATGTGCGAGACCAAATTCTTCACCCAGTGGCAGCTGACGCTGCACCGGCGAGACGGCGTCTTCGACAACAACGTCATCGTCCACCCCAGCGACCCCCTGCCCGGCAAGGTGGCCGTTTTTGGGGGGGCTCCCGGCCCYGAGCTGGCCTGTGCCACCTGCGGGAAGCCCTTGGCCAAAGATTTCCACACGGTGCGGAGCCATCTCTTGGAACATGTGAACCTGAAGAGCCAAACGTGCGGCGTGTGCGACCAGCGGCACCTGAGCCTGTGCAGCCTGATGTGGCACACCCTGTCCCACCTGGGCATCTCCGTTTTCTCCTGTTCCGTGTGCGCCAGCAGCTTCGTGGACCGGCAGCTCCTGGAAAAGCACCTGGCCGTGCACCAACACGTGGAGGAATCTCTTTTCCAGTGCCATTTTTGCAGCCAGAGCTTCAAGCTGGAAGCAGCTTACCGCTACCACGTCAGCCAGCACAAATGCGGCGGCAGCCTGGACATCCGGGCGGGTTTTGGGGAGCGCCTTCAACCTCCAGGGCTGCCCAAAAGGAAACTGCCTGAGGAATTCCTGAGCGAAGAGCTGGCACTTCAGAACCAACCAGGCAACAGCAAATACAGCTGCAAGGTGTGCGGGAAGAGATTCGCCCACACCAGCGAGTTCAACTACCACCGGCGCATCCACACCGGCGAAAAACCGTACCAGTGCAAAGTGTGYCACAAATTTTTCCGCGGGCGCTCCACCATCAAATGCCACCTGCGGACGCACTCGGGGGCACTCATGTATCGCTGCACCGTGTGTGGTCATTACAGCTCCACGCTCAACCTGATGAGCAAGCACATAGGGGTGCACAAAGGCAGCCTGCCGCCGGATTTCACCATCGAACAGACTTTYATGTACATCATCCATTCCAAAGAGGCCGAGAAAAACACGGATAGCTGATGGGGCTGGGGCAGGAGAGAGTGTTGGTGATGGAAGCTGCGGAGAGGAAAAGGAAAAAAAAAAATGTTGTCGTTTTGTTTTTATTTAATGGTCAGGCATCATGGATGGAATTCTTTGTTTGTTTGATTTTTTTTTTTTATTATTATTTTTTGGGCCTTCCTAGGGCTTTTTAGATTGGTGGCGTTGTACAAATTAACAGCACGTGAGGTACATCACTGTTTTAAGGAGTCTGTCGTGTTTACTTACCTCTGGTCCTGTTAGAGGCCATCGAGTTCTGTGCTTTTAGCATTTCTCACTAGTTTTTGAGTCTAGATTCTATATTTTTTTGAACCTTTTAGCCCACTTGACCAGGCTAACCCTGAGCTTGTCCACAAACTGATGCTGCTAYGATTTTCACACCTGACCTCAGTGGAGAGGGACAGAGCCACAGCAAGTGCTGAACTCGAAGGAAAGGAACAAAAGAGAAAGGAAAAAAAGAAAAAAAAAAGGAAAAAAACAAAGACATTCTGGGCATCCCCGGGGTTCTGCTGCTACTGTCAGGAGATGGGCAAAGTGTGCCCTGGGATCKGCCGTCGCTGCGTTGCCGGGGAGAGGAGCAGGAAGCACCTGAGTKTGTAAACAAGGAGGAATCCCTGCAGGGAGGCAGGAGCAAGGGATTCACAGATTCCCAGTCTCACTGGTGCCCTGAAACCCTGGAGGAGGCGATGGAGGAGCCACACAAGCGAGGGTGGAGGTGGCTGTGTGAGCAAAGAGGACCGGAGCAGGGGGTGAAGCAGATCCCTGCTCCCCTGGGTGATGATTGTGGTGGCCACAAAGAGCCAGGAGCCTCCTGGCTCCTCTCAGCCCCAACCTCACGCCGTGCCCCGGGGCTGACGAGTCGGGATGAAGCCTTTGCCTTAACTCCCCAGAAGGTACCTTGGAGGATCCTTCTCCTGCCGAAGGGATCCCCCTCCCCGTGCCGTGGATCACTGCGTTTGGTGGCGAATTTGTGTGGTTGGAGCGACGTGAGTTTGTTCGTGGAGTGGCAGCCACGGCGATGGCTCGGCCTGTGGCCACGTGTCGAGTGCTCCTGGGGGCTCTCCTGGGTGTGGAGGAGCTTTTCTGGGCGTGGAGGAGCTCTCTTGGCCATGGAGGGGCTCTTCTGGGCATGGAGGGGCTCTCATGGAGGAGCTCTCCAGGTCATGGAGGGGCTCTCCAGGTCATGGAGGGGCTCTTCTGGGCATGGAGGAGCTCTTCTGGGCATGGAGGAGCTCTCCTGGGCGTGGAGGGGCTCTTCTGGGCGTGGAGGGGCTCTCTTGGGCATGGAGGAGCTCTCTTGTCCATGGAGGAGCTCTCCTGGGCATGGAAGGGCTCTCCTGGCCATGGAGGGGCTCTCCTGGGCATGGAGGAGCTTTTCTGGGTATGGAAGGGCTCTCCTGGGCATGGAGGGAGCTTTCTTGGCCATGGAGGGGCTCTCCTGGGCATGGAGGGGCTCTCCTGGGCATGGAGGGGCTCTCTTGGCCATGGAGGAGCTCTCCTGGGCATGGAGGAGCTCTCCTGGGCATGGAGGAGCTCTCCTGGGCATGGAGGGGCTCTTCTGGACGTGGAGGAGCTCTTCTGGGCATGGAGGGAGCTCTCTTGGCCATGGAGGGGCTCTCCTGGGTATGGAGGAGCTCTCCTGGGCATGGAGGGGCTCTCTTGGCCATGGAGGAGCTCTCCTGGCCATGGAGGGGCTCTTCTGGGCGTGGAGGGGCTCTCCTGGGTATGGAGGAGCTCTCCAGGTCATGGAGGAGCTCTCCAGGTTATGGAGGGGCTCTCCTGGGCATGGAGGGGCTCTCCTGGGCGTGGAGGAGCTTTTCTGGGTGTGGAGGGGCTCTCCTGGGCATGGAGGGAGCTTTCTTGGCCATGGAGGGGCTCTCCTGGGCATGGAGGGAGCTCTCTTGGCCATGGAGGGGCTCTCCTGGGTATGGAGGAGCTCTCCTGGGCATGGAGGGGCTCTCCTGGCCATGGAGGGGCTCTCCTGGGCATGAAGGAGCTCTCATGGGTGTGGAGGGTCTCTCCTGGGTATGAAGGGGCTCTCCTGGGCATGGAGGGGCTCTCCTGGACATGGAGGGTCTCTCCTGGCCGTGGAGGGTCTCTCCTGGCCGTGGAGGGGCTCTCCTGGGTGTGGAGGGGCTCTCCTGGGTATGGAGGAGCTCCCCAGGTCATGGAGGGGCTCTCCTGGGTATGGAGGGGCTCTCCTGGGTATGGAGGAGCTCTTCTGGGCGTGGAGGGGCTCTCCAGGTCATGGAGGGGCTCTCATGGAGGAGCTCTCCAGGTCATGGAGGAGCTCTCCAGGTCATGGAGGGGCTCTCCTGGGCATGGAGGGAGCTTTCTTGGCCATGGAGGGGCTCTCCTGTGCATGGAGGGAGCTCTCTTGGCCATGGAGGGGCTCTCCTGGGTATGGAGGAGCTCTTCTGGGCGTGGAGGAGCTCTTCTGGGCGTGGAGGGGCTCTCCAGGTCGTGGAGGGGCTCTCCAGGTCGTGGAGGAGCTCTCCAGGTCATGGAGGGGCTCTCCTGGGCATGAAGGAGCTCTCATGGGTGTGGAGGGGCTCTCCTGGCCATGGAGAGTCTCTCCTGGGTATGGAGGGTCTCTCCTGGCCATGGAGGGTCTCTCCTGGGTATGGAGGGTCTCTCCTGGGCGTGGAGAGTCTCTCCTGGGTATGGAGGGTCTCTCCTGGGTATGGGTACTTCTCCCCCTTTAGATTTTGGGTGCCCTTGAGTGCAGGAAGCTCTTCTGGGCATGGGGACCTCCCCCAGACAGACATCAGGCTCTCCTTGGCACTGAGAGCTCTCCTGGGCACCAGGGTCACTCCTGGACAAGTTTTTTTGTCCACCTCACCCTTGGGGGCTCTCCTGTGCACGGAGGTCACTCCTGGACATGTGTGATGTCCACCTCAGCGTGGAGGTCACTCCTGGACACGTGTGATGTCCACCTCAGCGTGGAGGTCACTCCTGGCCATGGAGGTCACTCCTGGACATGTGTGATGTCCACCTCACCCTTGGGGGCTCTCCTGGCTGTGTGATGTCCACCTCACCCTTGGAGGCTCTCCTGGCCATGGAGGTCACTCCTGGACATGTGTGATGTCCACCTCAGCCTGGGGGTCACTCCTGGACATGTGTGATGTCCACCTCAGCCTGGGGGTCACTCCTGGACACGTGTGATGTCCACCTCAGCCTGGGGGGCTCTCCTGGCAATGTGCTGGGCACTCCTGGTGGTCTCTCCCGGCCACTTTGGCGAGCTCAGCCGGTGCCAACAGCATCCTGCTGTGGGGCAGAGGTGGAGARGAACAAATCTTTCCAATCTGGGACTGCCCTCGGGTAACTCATTCTACCTCACAAACGGGAAGCGCTCGGGGCTCTCTCGATCCCTCGGGTCGGCTCCTGTGACTTCTGTCAAGTTTTGCTGTTACAAAAAAGAAAAGAAATTTAACAAAACTAGTGATTTGCAAACCCTGGAAATTCACCCCTCCCTGCCAAGAAAGGGACACCCGGGGAAGGGACACCCGGGAGGGTTGGACTTGGAGAGCTCAGAGCACTTGGGGGGATCTCTCCCCCGGCTCCATCGTGGCCTTGGGCAAGTCACTTCACCTCTTTGCCTCAGTTTCCTCATCTGTAAAATGAGGGTGGTACCTCCCGTGGTACCGACCTACCTCCGGGAGCGGGGAGAGGGTGCCTGGAGTTTGGTTTTGGAGGAGGGCAGGCACCAGAGCTGTCACAGCGCGGAGTTCTGAACTCCTGAAATCGCTGCCGAGCTGTGCTGAGCTGTGTTTGTGTTAAGTTTTACAAGAAAAAATGATTTTGGGAACGGTGTGGTGCTCTGGGAAGGGTGGGAGTTTAACTGGGGGTTCCACCGAGCTGCTGTTTGGGTTTCAGGGGTTCTTTTTGTGGAATTCTGGGATGGGTGAGGCTGGAAGGGACMACTGAGGGTCCYGTTCTGTTCTGGGCACAGAACTCAGGGCTGTGCCCAGCTGGGGACAGGGACAAGGACAGGGATGGACACGTCCTGCTCTGCTCTGGAAGTGGCCRTGAAGGATGTGAATGACAGACAAGGCTGGCCAGAGCCTCCTGGAATGTTCCAGAAGCTTCAGGGAGGCTCTGCAACCCCTGGATCTCGCCAAGCTGTAAAKCAAAAGCCTTTTGTGCACATAAACCAAAAAAAAAAGAGAAGCTTTTACACCGAAATACCAACGGGCACTGGCAGCCCTGGGGGTGGAAATCATGAGCCCCTTGCCTGCTGCTGGAATTTCTGGGGTTAAAACGGATCAATCCCATGTGGAGCATCCCAAAATTAACAGTAGGGGCTGCGGGGATGGGTCTGAGCCTTGAGAGCCTCGTGGAATGTTCCAGAAGCTTCAGGGAGGGTCTGCAGCCCCTGGATCTCGCCAAGCTGTAAATCAAAAGCCTTTTGTGCACATAAACCAAAAAAAAAAAGAGAAGTTTTTACACCGAAATACCAACGGGCACTGCCAGCCCTGGGGGTGGAAATCATGAGCCCCTTGCCTGCTGCTGGAATTTCTGGGGTTAAAACGGATCAATCCCATGTGGAGCATCCCAAAATTAACAGTAGGGGCTATGGACCTGCTCCTGCTGGATTCCCAGAGGGGGCAGAGACCTGAGTGCTCCCCCAGGAGTGTCCTGGGTGTCCCCAAGCTTTTAGGGTTGGCAGGGATGTCACCTCTGTCCCCGTGTCCGGCCAGCTCAGCTGGGAGCTCMAATTTTGTGTCAGAAGAACTGGAATGGTCACTCAGTGCCCAGTTCTGTTCCTGCTCCCAACCCAGCTCCTTCCTGTCCCCAAAGGTGACCTTGGGGACATTGACCTACCTCCCCTGGGGCAGCCTGAGGTGTTGGCAAAGTGCTTTGGGATCCTTCAGAGGGGAAATTTCGGCAGCATTTGGGTCACGGAGCCTCCTGGGGAGCCCCAACACGGAACCCCCACTCTGAAAACCCTGCCCCAAACTCGGATTTACTCCCATCCCCCCAAAAAAAATTCACTCTCCCCGTTCTCAGTGGATCCAGGTCTCTCATCAGAGTAATTGAGCAGAAGAAGAAAAAGCAAGAGTTGAATTTGCTGTCTAACCTTTTCGTTAAGTTAATCGTAGGTACTGACCTCCTGCTATTTAAGTGTTTACTATCTATTTGCTGTAAAGTTTTGTATATTTTGTAAACTTTTTTYCCCCTCCCCTCCTCAAAACCGTAGATGTCTAAAATCGTTGTACATCGGGTTCTTTTCTACTCCATTGTTCAGCACAAAGTGTGGTTTTTATTTAGAATAATAAAATGGAAAACATTGACCTCTTGCAGCTTCTCCTTTATAAAATGTGTTATTCCAATGTGTCAACTTAAGCTGGAGCTCCCTGGGCTGGGAATTGAGTTCAGGAAAGACAAGAATTTACTGGAGTGGGTCCAGGACAAAGATTTTGAGGGGTCTGGAGCATCTCAGTGGTGAGGAGAAACTGGGGGAGCTGGAATTGTTTGGTCCAGAGAAGACTTGAGAAGGGATTCTGTCAATCCATTAAAATAACTCAAATATCCCTAGAAATAACTCATTTGAGAGGGGATCTCCTCAATCCTTATAAATATCCCAAATACTCATATAAATACCTAATTTGGATCTCATAAATCCATATAAATATCTCAGATATCCATATAAATATCTCATAAATCCATATAAATATCTCAGATAGCCATATAAATACCTAATTTGAGGGGGATCTCATCAATCTATATAAATATCCCAAATACTCATATAAATATCTATTTTGGATCTCCTCAATCCATATAAATATCTCAGATATCCATATAAATACTTAATTTGAGAGGGGATCTCATAAAACCATAAAAATACTTCAAATGTGGGTGCCAAGAGGATGGTGCCAGACTTTTCGGTGGCACGACAGGACAAGGAGCAACGACCATAAATAAAACCCCAAGAATTTCCCACAGAGGGTGGCAGAAAACAGGAACAGAGTGCCTGGAGCTCTATGAACAAAGCTGCAGAAAAAACAGTTAAAAATTAAGTTTATTAGGTCAAATATACCAAATTTTACATGTTTTAAGTATCTTGGAATGGAATATATTTTCGCCCTGGTGATGTCACACTGCGAGTGGTTTGTGGTTGTGTGTCCATTTTTKTATTTGAGACGGGAGGGAATTGGCAAAGAGAAGCTCAGGGGGGATTTGGGATCAGGGGGTGAAGGTTTTGGGGTCTTGTGGGGGRAGATCTCAGCATCCTGGGGTTTTTTCAGCATCCTGGGGCTCTGCGCTCACAGGTGTGAAAAGCAGAGTTAAGGAAGGAGAATGGCCTGAACTGGGAATTTTTCTCAGAGTTTTTGTATAAGAAACAAATTTGGATTTTTCCCTCAGTGCTCATATCCCGGGATACACAGGAACAGAAAAAACCCTGAGGTTTTTAGGGTTTCACCCCATCACAGAACCCCTGGAACCGACAGAACTTCCCCAGCCAACCCCGTGATAACCCCATATCCGAATTAACCCCCAGTCCTGAGCTTCTCCCGGCACATCCTGACCTCCAGCCCCTGTTTCCAGCATCCTGTCCCCAGAACTGCTTATGCTTTGCTTTTTTCACGGCGAGTTCCTCGAGCAGCTCAAGGCCTTTGGGAGATTTATGGGCTGCAGCACCGGGAGCTCTGTCACCTTCCCTCACCCAGGGCTYGACCCGCAGCGCGTGACCGAGGTCAGAATCCAGGCAAGGATGAATTTTCTCCGGATACTCCGGTTCCTTGCACGGCACCAGCCCAGCCCGTGTTGGCTTCGAGGTTTTCTGCACGTTCCCGTGTTCCCACGGGGACTTTGGTGGAAGGGGAAGGGGTTGCTGGAGCCTGGTGGAGTTGAAAAATGCACCCATTTTGGCCGTAAAAACCTGCCAGAGGGATGGAGGATCCAAACCCAGTCCGGAGCAGCCCTRCCCAGTCAAACCCAGTTTAAATATCACTAATTTACCACTGGGTTTGCCAAATTGCTGCTGAGGAACCAAAATTTTTCCTCCTCTCAAATCTGTGCCCTGCTCAGCCCCTCAGGCTGCCTCGCCTTCATCTTTCAAAAATCAAGCTCTGGTTTGTGTTCTAAAGGGATGATTCCACCAGGGCTGGGGGTCAGGGACAGTCTGGGGGTGCAGGAATGCCCCAYGGTGCACCCCAAACTCATGGCTTAGGGTTGGGATAGGGATCAGATCCCAGAGCTGGGTCGTGACAGATCACAAGCAGAGCAAACGCGCTTTATTACCGCAATGGTTTCATTTGGAAAAAAAAGGAATTTCTTTTTTCTCTTATCTTTTCTTTGGACACAGCAGAGGGAAGATGTCCAAAGCCACCAGCTTGCCTCAAACCTGGCATCTCATCCTGCCCGGCCAAGAAGGGCCGTGTCCAACAAAATTTATCTCCTCATCACCTGAAAAACCAATTCCACCATCCCCAGGGAGCCACCACGATTTTGGGAGAGTCCAACCCACCCTTAATTGGGAAGGTTGTTGTCCTTCGCGATGACTATGGAGTGCTGCGTGCTGGACGAGGAGCCACCAACGCCCTTCTGGCCGCCGTGGTCCTTGGGGATGTACTTGACCACGGCGGAGATGAGTTTTCCACGGAAGTTYTTGCTGAGGAAATTGTAGAGGATGGGGTTGACGACGCAGTGGAGCAGCGTGAAGCAGTCGATGACGTCGTAGAAGAAGTAGAGGAAGTGGGCGAAGGTGCAGTGCAGGACGATGTGGTTTCCCTCGAGGGTCAGCAGCGTCAGCACCACGTGGAAAGGCAGCCAGCTGAGCAGAAAAACCCCGATGTAGGCGTAGATGAGCAGGCAGTGCTTTCGGCTCTCGGGTTTGGCGCGCCGGACGAACCGCGCCGTCAGCGCGTTGAACACGGCCATGACGGGGAAAGGGATCAGGAAACCCACGGTGGTGGTGGCCAAGCTGACCGCCAGCGCCCACTCATCGTAGGTCTCAAATGGGGCCATGAAAATGCAGATGGGCTCGCCGGTGTTGACCAGCTGCATGTGAGCCACCTCCAGGAAGGGGATGGAGGCAGCCAGGAGCCAGCAGAAAGCRCAGACGGCGCGGCGCGCGCGGTGCTGGTGCCGACGCCAGAAAATGGACGAGCTGGTCAGGGTGACGTAGCGATCCACGCTCAGGCAGGTGAGGAAAAAGATGCTGGCGTACATGTTGGCGAAGTAGAAGTAGTGGGTGAAGCGGCAGAGGAAGCTGCCCCAGAGCCAGGTGTAGTCCAGCATCACCTCCAGCATCCAGACGGGCAGCGACAGCAGCACGCCGAGGTCGGCGATGGCCATGTTGATGACGTACACRTTGACCAAGCTCTTGCTGCCCCGTGTCTGCCAGTTGACCCAGATGACCAGGAGGTTCTCCACCAGGCCCACCACGAAGATGACCAGGTAGAGGATGAACAGGACCACCCGCTTGACGTTCTCGTCCAGGCTGAACTCGCAGTAGGTGTAGGTGTGGTTCAGGAGTTGGAACAGCTCGGAGAGGTTGTGGTAGTCCATGTACTCGTTGGGGACAGCGTGTGTCTCCGTGGGGACTGTGGTTGTCACCTCGGCCATCCTGGTGGCTGCAGGGAAAGGGAGAGCACTGAGCTGGGCGGGCTGAAGCACAGAGCTCCCATGTGGGGCTCAAAAAGATTATTCTGGGAGCTTCTAACCCAATTTTTGACTCCCCACATCAACCTTCAAAAGATGCTGCATGCACCCAGGTGATCCCCTCACATCCCGGGATAAATGCCATCCACAAACAACATTTGTGGCTGTTCCCTGTCCCCCTGTCCCTGTCTGGGGCATGGGCAGGTGCCAGTGACCGTGTCCCGAAGATTCAGCTCCAACGGGAAAGCCGCCGATCCCTCCCAAGCCCTCAGGGCACGGTCACTTGCAGCCGCCCTTGGGAGCCATCGGGACTTCCAAGTAGGTGACAAAATTATAAATTTCAGGGAAATGCAGTTGACCTCCACATCCTCTTATTGCCCCAAGCGAGAGCTGYGATCCCAGCCCAAGCTGCATCCGTCCGGGAGCAGCCATTCCCTYGGGAATGCTGGAGGAGTGTGCGGTGTCTGCGGGATCTTCCCGCTTCATTTGGAGCCTGGAAAGTCGGGAACAAACCACAGCCGGGTGTTCCCTGCGAGAGAATTGTCCCTGGGGCAGCCGGCTGGCACCCAACCGCTCCTGAAATCACGGAAAGGATGGAGCTGCCACCCTCCCCGGGGCTCCTGAACATCCCGTGCTGGAGCTGCGGGTGCTGAGAGGACGGGGGGATTGAGGAGAGGGAGGTGGGAGAGGGGGCGGATGGACGGGAGAGGGGACAGACAGACAGGAGAGGGGGAAGATGGCCAGGAGAAGGGACAGACGGACAGAAGGGACAGATGGGAGAGGGGACAGACAGAAGGGAGAGGGGACAGACAGACAGGAGAAGGGACGGAGGGACAGGAGAGGGGACAGATAGGAGAGGGGACAGATGGACAGGAGAAGGGGAAGATGGACAGGAGAGGGGACAGATGGACAGGAGAAGGGACAGAGAGACAGGAGAAGGGACAGACAGACAGGAGTAAGGACAGACAGACAGCAGAGGGGGAAGATGGACAGGAGAAGGGACAGGCAGACAGGAGAGGGGACAGACAGACAGACGGGAGAGGGGACAGATGGACAGGAGAGGGGACAGATGGACAGGAGAAGGGACAGACAGACAGGAGTAAGGACAGACAGACAGGAGAGGGAGAAGACAGACAGAAGGGACAGACGGACAGGACAGACAGATAGGAGAGGGGACAGACAGACAGGAGAGGGGACGGAGGGACAGGAGAGGGGGAAGATGGACAGGAGAGAGGACAAACAGGAGAGGGGACAGATGGACAGGAGAAGGGAGGGACGGACAGGAGAAGAGACGGATGGGAGAAGGGATAGATAGACGGGAGAGAGGACAGACAGACACGAGAGGGGACAGACAAACAGGAGAAGGATCAGACAGACAGGAGAATGGACAGACAAACAGGAGAATGGACAGACAGACAGGAGAGGGGACAGATATGAGAAGGGACAGATGGATGGTGCAGGGGACAGACGGACAGCACAAGGGACACGAGGGACAGCGCTGTCTCACCGGCGGCTGCGCTGGGGCCGTTCTGGAGCGGGGGGATCCTCTCGGCTCGGCAGCTCCGACGCCTCTGGGCACGGAGCTCGGGGTGGGCTCGGTGGCCGCTTCCCGGGCAGGAAATGACCGTCCTGATGCGACATCCTGAGCCAGCCCAGCGCGGGTGACATCGGCTGCATTTCCAGCCCCGGGACTGGCAAAATCCCGTTTGATTTTGTCACAGGGTGGGGAAGGACGCGGGGAGGACCCCGGCAGGTGCCTGAGTGTCCCCTCCGAGGCTTCCTGAGTGTCCCCTCCACTGTCATTTCTCTGGGATGGGAATGCGGATCCAKCCTGGATCCTTCTGTGAGGAAAACACATCCCAGGTCCTGGCCCAGCGCTGGGAATCCTGCAGGATTGGGGTTATAACAGAAGTGCCACCAGCTACTCCCGATGCCACCACGATATCAGGGTGAGCTCAGGGTTATTTTCCAAGGGGAAAAACGGCCGAAAGCGGAGTTCTCTGCCCGGGCAGCGCTCCCGCAGGAGCCGATGGCAGATGGATGTCGCTTGAGAAGCACCTCTGACCAGGCAGCAATTAATCACAGCGCCCTAATTGCCCCGCGCTCCGGCAGGGGAAGGGAGGGGGCTCAAACCTTGCCCCGGCGCTGGGGAGGTGGGCGCTGATAGGCAGAAAATTTTTGCATCGAGCTGCAAGTCCTGCGAAACAATTGCAGGAAATCTCCTTTTTTATTTATTTTTTTTTTTTCCCGAGCGCGGACAAGACTGCGGGATCAACAATCGGCTCGGAAGGAAGGCACGGCCGGAGCGGGGAAGCACACGAGGGCACTGATAAGTGGGGATTCACAACAACGCTGACCCCGTTGTGCGGGTACCGGCTTCCAAACAGGAACTCGGCAGTTTTCGTGCTGGCTCCGGGCATATTTTGGCTCATTTGGGGCTGTCAGGGCGGTGAAAGGACAGACAGAGGGAGCGGGGGTTTCGCTCCACCCGAGGGGGTAGCAATGTTCTGTTGATTCTATTTAACGGGTAAGGGATTTTTTTTGCGCCGAATTTTGGGACTGAGCAGGGTCTGGGAGCCGTTCAGGGGCTGCTGATCCTGGTGGGAATAGCGAGGTCGGGGAGTTGGTTGGACAGGCGGCTCAGCCTCTWCTCCCCATCCCTGTCGCAATATCCGGGATGCCCCAAAGCTCTCAGCACCCCAAATATGAGCCCAGGAGCCCCCAAGGCAGACTCAGCGCCGGGAATCTGCTCTTTCCCACTCTCTCCCCTCCCTGGGCAGCCAGAGGGATGTGACACARGTGTCCCACGGTGGGTACAGCCGAGGTGACAGCTCCCCGGGRCTTGGCACGCTGCACCCCGGCCCCTGGGGACACGCGTGCCCCGAGCGTGACGTGCGGGGGCTGCCGGGGACGTTGAGCTTTGCTAAGCCGAGGAAAATATTTAGGAGGAGCTTCCTCGGCTGGGGAAGCAGCTCGGCGGGCTGAAGGTCCCCGTGTCCTCTTCATCCTCCCCGTGGCATTTCGGGGGTGCCGGTCCTGCGTGGGCTCGGCTTCTGCCCGAGTTGGGGGAGCGGAGCTGCGCTGGCGCTGCTCTGGTGCCGCAGGCAAATGCACAACCTCAGGGACGTGCCCCTCAGCTACTGATCGTTAATCAGCTCTTAATTAGAGCGATGAGTGACGCAGGGATCACCGCCCACGTGCCCAGGGGATGGATGAACACCGCGCTGGCTTTTCCCAGCCCGTTCCCTGCCAGCCGAGCCGGGCTATCCCGGGATACGCGGCTCTTTTGGGCACAGACAATAGCCGGGGTCATGCCATGGGACCCCCCGGTTGGACAGGTCACCAACCCCGTGGCCAGGTGGCCATCGGACACCTCCAAAACCGGAGTCGCAACATTGCACCACCTTTAATTGAGCACGTTCTCGGGGGGTGCGGGTCACCCACGGGCGCCCTGTCCGTGTCCCCACGCTGGTGGCCACCCTCAGGGCATCCCGCTGGCCGGGATGGGCAGGAAGAAGCCGACGATGATGTCGGTCAGCCAGGCCGGGCAGTAGCTGAGGGGCAGGAAAATGAGCCGAGCATCCCAACCGGCGGCGTAGCGGCTGCGGGGGCAGCGGGAGAGCAGCGCGTGTGTCATGGCATCGGTGACATGCGACAGGCGGGAGCTGCTCAGGCGGTGCAGGAGGGTGCAGCACTCGGCATCTGGGTGGGCAGAGKGGGGTCAGCCCGGTGGGGTCACCAGGGGGGTGGCGGTGGGGTCACCGCGGGTGATGGACTCACATCTGTCCACGTAGCGGTGGCCGTAGGCTGCCTGGGTTTCTGCCGGGAGCCGCTCCCAGAGGTGCTCGAARTCCTTCACCAGCGGCGCGGGGTCGATCATGCCCGTTCGGAAACCTCCCGGTTCGATGATGGAGACGTGCACCCCGAAGGGACGCATCTCCCGCCTGTCCGGGGTGGGGACATCAGCGGGAGTCGCCATCCCGACAGGG